AAATCATCGAGAATATAGAAAACTGTTTTGAAAAGTGAACAATCCATGCTATTGTATATAATCTTAAAATGATTTTATTTAGGATTTCAACATTTTTGCTGTACAACCAATAAAAAGTCCGTTTGGTACTGGTGTTTTTTTTGATGGAATCCTATCAAAATATTTGAAGCTGTCTGAAATCACGTTATTATTTAATTTTCAGAAATTAAAAAGAAATGTTAATTGTTCATCTGGCTGAAAAAACAATTAAACTGTCAGTTACTATAAGGTGACTACTGGGCTGAATTACTTATTTGTGTGATCTATTCAAAGTCGAAGTATCTAGAAGACACTGAACATTACGATTCAAGCAGTAAGTTCATGATTAGAAGCACTAATATAATGTTTATTATAGTTTTTTGTAGAATGTTGGTTTTCATTGAACTCATGAAACAATCATTGTTAGACAATCACTAGAAACGTGAAATCACTGGACGGTCGTTTCGACCTAGTATGAAACTCTTCAGCAGTGAGTATCAACAACCTTCGTTCGTGGGAATCCATCAAAGTAGTTTACCTAGTAGTTTAGAAATCAATTTTCACATAAATTTCGATAAAATAGAATGAATCAAAAATATATTTTCGAGCTTTAATGAACTTTGCCAATCAACAACCTGTTGACTTTATATTTACATATCATATTCATATGAAAAATGTTACAATCACCAGTAGCACTGTCTGTTCACACAGACTGATAACAACAATCAAATTTTATAGGCATTTTATAAAAATTTATTTGAATCCTAAGCAGTATTTTCTTATGAACTAAAGTAAAACATTACTTTTTAATACTGTTCCAATTATCATTGTTGTGTAGATTGAAAAGAAAAAGATACAAAAAATTATTAACTTTAATTATTCGTCGAAATATCTATAGTTGGCCAGTTTCTGAAGTGCATTGAAACAAATAGAGGCTATCAGTTAATAAATTCACTTATTATTATTATTACACAGTTGTAATGATCAGTTAACTGAAGCAAAAGTATATTTTATTTGTCTCACTCTCCTCAATCAGAAATGCAGCATTTTTTTCTCTTAAATATGCAAATTTACATATTTTTTTAATTCATCTAATTTTAAGGTACTTAGAATTAATATCAAGAGTTTTTATCTTAGTTAATAATTAAAAAAAGTGTGATATTTCGCTACAATGAATGCAAAAGATAGTGCAACCTTATGAAAAAAAGTATCGAAGTGAATAGTTATGATATATGAGATGTACAAATCAATGCATCAAGTATAATTTTCAGCTAACAAAAGACCGAAGTCAATGAACATTTCACTGTCGACAACAAATGCTGGTGATGTCGTATTGTTCAAGCCTAAAAAGTAGGTTTTGTATACGTTTTTGACTGCTGAATGTTTCAGATTGAAAAAATTATTATTTCAAGTGGAATCAAACGAACTAAAATCATAAAAATAAGTCGTACAGTTCGCATATTGTAAGATTTTCTTTTAATAATTGACTTGGTTGTTATTGAAACAAATGAAAAAGTTCTAGCGAAATTTTACAGTTTGTATGTAAATAATTATTTTCATGTTAACACAAAAAAAGACAATTTTCATTCAGCATAAAATATAAATTCTCAAAAATTATTTTTATTTAACACTACAACTTGAAGCAATGAGGGATATTGATAATTAACGTTCACAACAATGATAAAGTTCTCAGTAATTCACTTCGTGAAATTAATTCAACTATTATTCAATCAATTGACATCTGAACAATA